GGATGCCAAGGGTCCAACCAAAGAAAAAACAGTGTTCCCATTACCAATTTTATAGTTAACAAGGGGCTTAAAAACATCCCTCAAGCTCAAAATCTTCCTCCAAGCTCAGGAGGAATTTGAAGGAATCTTAACGGACCAAAAACATCTCCCCTTCAACAAGTATGTATCAACTCAGTCCCTCCATAATGAGCTACCAGAACTATAAACAACATTTCATACATGTTTAAGTATAGTAGCTCTATTCCAATCCTCAACCCCTTTAATCCCCAAGCCCCCTTCTTGCTTAGGTAAAGACATAGTATCCCATGCCACTTTTGCGCCTCCAGACTTTAAATAAACTCTAGACCATAGAAACCTCCTCAAGATCTGTTCAATAAGAACAATGACTTTCTTGGGAATGATAAACATTGAGGACCAATAAGATTGAATGGCAAAGAGAACATAATTAATCAGTTGGACCCTTCCTGCATAAGATAAGAACTTGCTGCTCCATGAACTAACCCTCTCAGTAATTCTGCCAACAAGAGAATGGCAATCAACAACCTTAAGTCTAGTGGTAATAAGAGGAACACCAAGGTACTTGACAGGCAGTTCCCCCATTCCAAATCCCAATTCTTGCACAATCATTGTTCTTATTTCAGGATGCACACTAGATAGGAAGACATGACTCTTGGATAGATTAGGTTTGAGTCCAGAAAAGACCTCAACCACTTGAAGAACCTCTTTAATTGCTTTAATAGAATCAAGAGTGCCTTTGCAAAAGACCATAAGATCATCCGCAAAGCAAAGATGGGAAATGGACTCTTCTCACACCTCCAGTGAAATTTAAACCTTCCTTGTTGAGTGATAAACTTCATCATTCCATTAAAAACTTCCATAACAACCACGAAAAGGTAGGGGGAGATTGGGTCACCCTACCTAAGGCCCTTTTTCCCTGCAAAATATCCAATTAATTTGTCATTAATACTAATGGAATACTTAGGGATGATAACACAAGTCTCAATCCAAAGTAACATCCTTTAAGGAAATCCCATCTGACTAAGCGTTTCTAATACAAACTCCCACCTCACATTATCGTATGCTTTCATGAGATCAATCTTAAGAGTGCACCTTGGAGCCCCTTCATCCAAATGGTAATTTCTAAGCAATTCTTATGAAAGTAGAATATTGTCAGAGATTCTCCTGCCTCTAACAAAGGCTGCCTGTGATTTATCCACCAAATCGGGAAGGACCTCCTTGATTCTAATAGAAATAATCTTGGAGATGCATTTATAAATAACATTACAACATGAAATAGGTTTGTATTCAACAAGTTTTGAGGGATTGGGAACCTTGGGAATAAGGGCAATGATTGTGGAATTAACCTCTTGGAACAGCCTTCCACTCTCAAAGAAAGAAAGAATAGCATCGGTGACACCACGTCCAACAATATGCCAAGATTTCTTGAAAAAACCTACAAAGTAACCATCAGGCCCTGGGGCTTTGCCCTCCTTCATGGAGAACATGATCTTTTTAATTTCCTCCCTAGTAACCATTTGTTCCATTACACAAGCCTGCTGCTCAGAGATTCTTCGAGTAATGAATTGCCTTACCCAATGCATAGGAATCAGAGGCCGAGGGTGTGGAGTAATCAAAAATTTTCATAGTAACGTAGCACCTCCTTTTTAACCTCTCTCATATCAGTAACTCTGGAGTCGTCCTCCTTCTCAATTGTAGTTAATCTCCTCTAGATTCTTTGTTTGCTAATGGTTTTAAAGAAATACCTTGTATTTTGGTCCCCCGTGTTCAACCATTGGACCCTGAATTTTTGTTTAAGAAAACTATCTTCAGCCTCTCTCAAGTGGACATAATCTTGAAGCTTCCTCCCTTCCTCTCCCAGATTTCTTCATTATGAGGATTTTTATCAAATTTCCTTTGAACATCATCCAAAGCTTGCTTAGCACCCATAGCTCTTGTGGAGATGTCACTATATGAATTTTTGTTGAGTTCTTTTAGCTCTTTCTTCAGTACCTTCAATTTTTGGTAGACTCGAAACATAGGAGTGCCCCTGATCTGTGTATTCCAAGCATTGCTCACAATTGGAAAGAAACCCTGATGTTTGGTCCATAAATCAAAAAACTTGAAAGGTCTTCTACCCTTGGGTTGTCCCTCCCTAAGTCTAAGTAATGCCATTGAGTGGTCAGATACCCCTGAAACCAGGAAAAAACCTTCGAAAGCAGGGAATTCAGTAGCACATGATTCATTAACCAGGATCCTGTCCAATTTGCTAGAAATCATACCACCATTATACCTTTTGTTGCACCAGGTGTATTGATTACCTAAGTACTTTAAATCCTTAAGCTCCACTCTAAAAAGACAGTCACAGAACTCCTCACTACCTTTATCTCTGGCATTACATCCCCCCAGCTGTTCATCCATAGATCTCACAACGTTAAAATCACCCAGCACTACCCAAGCTTTATTCATCATATATGCATGCCTTTGCACCAACCTAAGCCACAGTAGTCTTCTAAGCACTTCAGTATTTTGGGCATAGACAAAAGAGGGAAAAAAGACTCTCTTGTTGGCCAAGTAGGTAGCCTTACAATGGATAACCTGATTATTTTGGTCCAGCTTCTCAACCTCATAAACAAGAGGATCCCAACATACCCAAATCCTGCCCGTCGTGGACCAATCATTGTTATTAATCAAATTCCAACCAGGGAACATAGTTCTAAAGATCCTTTCATTATTTACTCTCCTAATTTTTGTTTCCATCAAGCCACAAAGCCCAACTCCAGATTGACTAATGTGTCTTCTCACTTCAGCTTGTTTAAGAGGGTCATTTAGCCCTATTACATTCCAACATGAGATATGTATCATTTAGGGTTTGAAATTGGAGGAGTACCCATCCCCTCATGAGATACCACCAGGCTACTACTGGCCTGATTCTTGAGCTTTCCCCTTGCTTTCCTGTTCTTCTTCCTTGTAGAGGTAGTCTTCAGTTGTTCAATTGCATCAACCATCTTGATTTTGTCAAGCATGGTACTTGGTTTATGTGGTTCAAAATCACTAGCAACAACTACTTCCTCCCCTTGAGCCATAGACACTAGTGCTTGAAATTTGTTTGGGGAAGGAACAACTCCACACAAAGCACTAGGACTAGTTTGGAGATTAATGGTAATCTGGCCACCCTTCTCTTCATTATTTCTCCTTCCCTTTATCTTTGGCTTTATTCAAAGACTTCATATTTCCTCCATCCTTTGCAACCTCATGAACAACCACTGATTGGTTAAAGGTTCCACCATTAGGGATTACATCTTTTGCAAATGACGTACCTTCCTTTACCAAAATCCTAGGCTCTATTAGAATCTTAGGACAACTATGTTCAAAAACCTTGCATTGGTCACATCTTGGGGGTTTCCATTTGTATTCCACTCTAATTTCCACTGTTTCAATATCTCCATCCTTTTCTCCTTGCATCAGTAAGTCAAAAGTCTCAGGGAAAGCTCCTCCGCATCACTTTCAATGTAAATTCTCACAAAAGAAGTTCTACTACCTTTTCAGTGAGTTTATCCATGCAAAGCGGTTTTCCCACTGCACTTGCTATTTAACTAAAACCCTTGGGAGTCCAGTATTCATGAGGAATATTAAAGAACTTCACCCAGGCAGGCATCTTCCTCAGAGCTTCCTAGTGCAATTTAAGCCTAGGTTGCCATTTCCTTAGAATAATGGGTTGGCCCCCTATATGCTATGGTCCACCCTCCAATACCTCATTCTGGTTACCAGTGCTTGAAAATCTAAAGAAAAAGAAACCCTCCTGATTGGCAGTGACTTCAAACAAACCCTTCGTACTCCACATTCTCAAAGCAGATGCCTTAACCAAATTATAAGGCAATTTCTTGCCAATAAAATAACCCACAATGCTTGCCTCCCATTTAGAGCAACCCTCTTGAGCAACCTACTTGGGAGGTTGGACTGTAATCCTACTATTGTTCTTGCTGAGGGCCATAAATTCCATCTCAATAACTGATCTGGGGTTATGCCTCACTTTGCTAACCCAAGATGTGCCAGATTGCTTTTCACCCAGAACATTAGCAAAAGTCTCTTGATTAAGAGAAGGGTTGGAGGGAGTACCTGTTAATGGGCTTAGTGTTGCTCCAAAACTCTGTTTTCCTAGCAGCCTTGCATTAGTTCTGTTCCCATGGCCATTTTCAACATCACCCCTGCTACCCCAAGTGGATGTGTTACTGTTAGTCCTTCCACCCCCTTGTGATAGACCTCTTCCATTTCCTCGAACAATAGCCAAACCCCTATGGTTCAAAACCCTTGATCAAAATTCCTATTGGTCTCAACCATCGTCCTTAGCATCTCATTTTTGAGCATTAGCTCCGCAAGGTTACCTGGCTCTACCTCATTACTCCGGGTACCCTCTGAATTATCAAGGGCCATACCAAGGAAATCGCATTTTGCGGTGGGTATTTCCATAGAAATATCAGCAGACCGCTCATCGACATAAACATCACTTGGAATAGAGCATCCTGCCACCACAGTAGCAGCTCCATTTAGGTTAACTTCCATGAAAGTAGTATTCCCATCAGATTCATTTTCAGAAGCTTTGTGCAGCACTTTAATGACCTGTCCATTTGATGGACCCAACACCGAGCAAGCATTTAAGCCAAGAGGAGTAAGCTCATTTTCAATTTCAAAAGGGGTTTCCTTGGGGATTGCCGTGGAAACAAACGGGAAAGGACAAAAGGGAAAAGACAAAAATGCACAAAGGGTAGAAGGGGATTCAAGTAAGATTAAAATAGGAGTTAATGAAAGGATTTGGGCCTGGTGAGGAGTGCCCAGAAGAAAAGGGGAAAGAGGCGGTGGGTGAGGTAGGGTTTCATCGTTTACAGAAAGGGGGAAAGAGGTGGTGAGGGACCAACAAGTTCTTTGGTAGTTTTGGATCTCTATTTTATTTGCTCATGTGTCTTAAGTATGATTATGTATATTCAGCGGTGGTGAAGATGTGGATAGTGGAAAATTTGGAGTTGGGTTTGTGAGTAACCAACAAAAATGATATTTTATTATATTTAATAATTGATTAATTGTATATTATTTATGATTTTTTTTTTGAGTTGGAAGCAAATTATTTCATTAACAGCCTGAAACATCTGATAAATGATGGCAATAAGTTAACAAATTTTTTTATCCTTGTCTACAGTCAAAGATTGCACCAAAGTAAATCTAATTAATAGACATAATACAACCAACCTCAATACCTATCAAAATTTGGAATATCAAAGTTCAATAAAAGGGTCAAGACCAATCTTCACTCCTAAACAATGGCATTGGCTGCACTAGCAATCCTTGGCCACAGGTCAGCGCACTCCTTCCCAATTGGACCAGTAATAGCAGACCCTTTCATTTCTCCCTTTGGATTCACAATGACACCAGCATTATCTTCAAAGTTTACGAAGACACCATCCTTTCGGCGCTAGGGCTTGTGCTGTCGGACAATAACAGCAGGCATGACCTTCTTACGGAGATCAGGCTTGCCTTTCTTCACTGTGGCCATCACCATATCACCAACACAAGCCGAAGGTAACCGGTTCAATCGGCCCTTGATTCCCTTCATTGATATGATGTAGAGGTTCTTCGCTCGGGTTATCGGCACAGTTAACCGTCGTCGCCACCGACAGACCCAGCGACATGCGAAACTTGTTGCCCGCCGATCCTCCACATCCTCGCTTCGATATTTTCGTCTGCCGAATGGAGCTGATTCAGTGTGTTAGATTCCTTAATTTCTAGTTTGATATTTTTCTAATTGTTTGATTTATTTTGCAAGTAATTTGATTGATTTAAAGTAATAATAAATAAGACAAGTAAAACAAACAATCGATGAAGAATCACAATTAATAAGGATTGAAGAGTAAAGATTAAGATATAAAGATTTGAAGATAAATGCAACAATTTAATACTAATGAGAGTCTAAATTAGTAATAAACTCATTTAGAGTTGAATTAAAAAAGTATTCTAGAAGATAAGGTTTTGACACATATTCAGTATTTCGGTCCTAAGTTTTTACTCCCGATATCCGATTTACTTGATTTTTATGGGTTTGGAATGAAGACTTCAAGGTTTATTTCAAAATTTTGTGAAAAGATCTCTAACTATGAAAAAATTGAACTCAAAGTCTAGGCAAATATGGTACCCGCGCCCCCAAAATTTGGTGCCCGAGATTTTACCTTAAAAGACTTATTTTTAGAAAGGAATTTCTCTCAAGTCAACTCTAGATCTCCTACCTATACTTAGGTTTTAGTACAAATAAAGGCTCTCAACTCAAGTCTCACCGGTTAAGAGAACATTCTTTTTCTAACCTTTTCCTTTCTAGATTTTAGTGTATTTTTATGATACCTTACTAAATTCTTAACTATAGGTTAGGGAGATACTTTTAATGAAGTATTGTATTATTTTTTATTCAATACTTTTTTTTAAAACATAATCTATTTTTTAATTTAATTATTGTCTTTTTGTAAAGTTTTTACTCTGTATAATTTATTGATTCGTTGCACCACGTACATCGAATACTTTAGATTCCCTACAAGTCAAATAACTAGTTATTCCATTCTTGAATTAATTAACTAGAATTTTTCATAAAAATAGTTAATTGCTTGTTTGTTATAAAATTAGGGTTTACTTGTTGAAAAGCTTGATTTGTCTTAGACTCCGGGCACGGTGAATTTTTGTGATTTACAAGTAAATTCTTAGTTTTATTCAATTAAGTTATTTAATGTATGTTAGATGTTTTCATATTATTACCGCCAAATATTTCAATTAAGATCACTCCTTAGTTAATTCTCAATTGAGTTTAAAAACTGAATCATTAATAATTGTTGTGTGAATTTAAAAGGATATCCCGATGCTTTAATATTTAAAATTTTTGTTTTTAACCAAACAATTTTTGTTCTTTCGAACAAACAAATTTCTCCAAACAATTTTCAAAGTACTTTTCTTTTATTTTTCTTGTGTTCTAAGTTTGCTCAATTCCATGAGGTTCAACCTCGAACTTCGAGTATTATATTATTTCGTGACAACCTGCACTTAGGTAATCAATTCTAAAGTTGTAGTAATCAGTCTTAATGTAATTGTTGGGTAATTGTTCTATTGGATTAACTTTTTGTTATGTGAATTGAATGTTGATGATCTTTTTGAAATTGATCCATGCCATATAGTGAAATGGTCAAATTAGTTCACATTTCATATAGTGCTAATATTATTTGTTTGAGTTTAGATTAAATTGTTGATTATTTTGGTGTTTCGGGTTGAAGTGTGAGTATGGTGAAAATAACATTGAATTGGGAAAAAGTGAATTAAGTTTGGTTTCGAGTAATGAAAGTGGGTTAGTCACTACATTGGTATAGATTATTTCATACAAATTGAGTGACATTGCATTTCAACATCTATGTTGCATAATGGAAACAATATTTTTATTCTTGGAGGATTGATTTTATTTTGCTTTACCTTTTAAGAATTGGAACTTTTCTTTCGTTTTAAAACTTAGCTACTATTTGGTGATTTTGATCTTTGTTATGTTGGCTTGGGATATTTTTTTTTTTTGTTGGAAGTTGGTGATAGGTTTGAAAGAGGTATGCATGACAGTCTATGATTTGGTTACATAGTGTTTTTAGGCATGAGTAATTGTCAATTAATTTATATTTTTGAGAGTTACTAATTTTTCGTAACCGATGGGTTTTGTAATCTTACTTTTTTGATCAATGGAAACTATGATCAAACTTTAATTTTTTTACTAAATTATTGATGTCGCATCTAAGAACAGATAGTTTAACAAGTTAATCCCATTTGCATCGATGGTATTTCTTTGAAATTTATTGAAAGAGTCAATTGCATTGGTAACCACTTTGCACAAATAATGCAAAAAATTACAAATGTATTCAATCCACACAGAACCCTTGATTAAAAGCCCCGAATTGGGTAATAACCCTTGATTAAACACACACATATTGATATGTGTATAAATTGTGCAATTATGTAAGTATGCTTATGTATTTATGTTTGCATTTATATATACTAGTGGGTGCTCCATGTGATATACAAAATTTGTCTCTACAACCATTACCCTATTTTAAGCCCTCATTTTAATGAAAAATTACTCATTGATGAATTACAGTAATATTTGTTGAATGTGAAAATAGTGAAGAAAGATTAGTAAAAATTTAAATTTGAAATAGTTTAAAAAGATAGTGGGAGCAATTATAAAAGATGGAGGGAGTAGTTACATAAACCAAATGGAATAATTTAATTCAAAGGGATTAATTAAATATTTAAAAAATTTAGAAATTAAGCATTTGGGGAGGGAAGACTTCTTAAGCTCTCTCACCTAAAAAACATTTATTTTATGATATATAGAAAAATTATAAATTGTTCATGTCTAAAGACTCTATATAATCAAAAATGAAAAGAAAAATAATAGTCCAAGTCGCATCTAACTTGGTGTATATTGCAGTTTTATACCGCTCACATCAAAATAATTGTTGTAACTGACAAAATTTTAATAGCTGGTACGTACCAACTATTGTTTTTCAAATTTTTTATCAGAGTTTCATTTGAAAATATGATTCCTAAATAATATCAACCTATATGTATAACTTATATAATCATATCTTTAGGTAAATAAACATACCTTAAATCAATAATTTCATCACAGATGGTTAGTGGGTATATCATAAACACTATGTGGGAACCAGTGCATTGCACGGGCAAAGTGCAAATTGTAAATTAATTATAAAAATATTTACAGTTCAATTAGTATACTATGTTAACAAATTCGACAACATATATTAATTTAATCAATCATCAAATAATAAAACATTAACTTTTAAAGTCAAAGTTCAATATAACAATATGAAAATGTCAGATCTTATTATAATAGAATCATGAAATCCACATTAATAGAATTCGGATAAAAATTGCAACCGTGATCCCATATACAAAATTAAGTACCCAGATGCTATCAAAAAAAAATTAAAAATTACTATCGCAAACTCCAGCGAAATCCAAAAAGATTACGTACAGCCTGAAATAAAAATATTTTATTAGATGTTTTGTCATTCTCTAAAAACATATAAATTCTTCCACATTTGAATGATAAAGTAAAATAAAACTGAGAAAATATCTTTACCTGAAAGGTATTGCTCCATTTGTTTAGATGTTCGTCGTTTCTTAGTTAAACCTCCTCGACATCTAATGCTTGTGAGCAGATTATGTCTTTTTTTTATTTTTCTCTAACATCTTACTGTAGTACTTTTACGTTCATAAAGCATTCTCAAACTTTTATGAATGATGTCAATCGGTCATGTAGCTGGATGCATGTTAACAATAGCACACAATGATATCGGAGTATTCTGACTAAAACATTTTCTCTTGAGTTTGGAATTTAATTACTTTTTCTTTAAAATATGATCTCTAACGTTTGATCCTAAATCCATTTTTCTTGCTCAATGGATGTATATTGTGCTCCGCTTCCACTAACAATTGTGCAAATTGTACTGCACAAGTTGGTTAGTCACGATGGATTTTTTTTTTCCTTTGCATTATTACAAGTGGGAGGGAGAGTCTCTGTTGTCTTCTGCATTTCATGCATTCTGTAACATACGACCTAATTCAATTTTTTCAAGCCCAAACTCGTAAATTGAGGTTCCATCAACAAAGAAATTATTTTCAAATTTGTCCACTATACTAAATACCGCCAAGCATGCACCATGACGTACATAAAGAGGAGGTCTTTCCATATCATCTACACATAATATAAAAGATATAAATTAATTTTATAATAATAAGATTAACAACAAATTAACAATTGTTATAGCAACAAAATAATTTGTATTGAATAACACAACACCAAATAACTCAAAAAAAACAAAGAATAATTACAAGTTTCCTTGTTCAATATAATACATGGATAAAATAAAAACAATGAAAGCTTGTCTGTGAATAAATGCAGAAATTACAAAAGAATAATTAATATAGATAAAATGTTTATGAGTGCCTACATATAAATTTCGTTCAAAGTTTTCGAAGTAATTGATGGGTCAGGCCAAAAGGCCTAACTCAAGTTATAAGCTCAGTCTGAATAAAGAAAATCCAATAGGTCCAACTCAAAACAGGTTCACGTCCAATCAACTCATTAAGGTTCGAGGCACTACATCATCAAGGGAGTAGGCAGAGTCATCCCAAGAGTCTCATCCACGCCGCCTTAAAAAAAATCAACCACCATGTCACCAAATTTCTCATACCAACTCATGCAATACATTTATTATTATTAAAAGTTTATGGGCTCAATTATCTAACAATGGTGAATGAGTTATATGTAGGATTGTCAATCGTGTCGGGTGGAACGATGTTGTATTGGGTGAAACGGGTTTATGTCAAAAAAGCTCTCATTTCATACCTCATTCGTTTATATAAACGGGTTTAACTATTATACTCATGCATACACGACTCGTTTAATAGATGGGTTACTCGACACAAATCGTGCGTCACCCGTTAAATAAGAGAATTAATTAGAATATTTTGAGTCCACACAAAAAATTATTAACTTGTCACACATTACACATA